ACGAGAGGCACTATTTTACATTTTTGCAAATTTTTGTAATATCTGGCTTAATAGAAGACAGCTGGATTTTCACATTTACTTCTGCTTTCAATATGCTGCAATTTCACACGTCACGTAGCCTCCGGAAAACTCCACTGTATGCGTGTGAGAGAATAAAAAAGGAAAATAGACTCTCCATATGATGAAGACTTTGACCTTGAAGAGCCCCTGAAAGGGTCTCCGGGACCCCCAGAAGTCCCCAGAACGCACTTGGAGAAACACCCCCCACCCCCGGGTCATCAGGGCAAGCGTCAGTGCTGCTCTAGGCTGCTCAGACGAAAGCTAACATTTGCGCTCTCCTTACACTTAGTGCTTCACCTGCGTCAGCTCTTCACACTCGCCTGGAGGAAGCCCCTGGGGTGGAGACTGCACCCACTGACTGAGAGGCCTGGGCAGCTCACCGAGTTGTCCCGGGCCTGCCAAGTCTGTGTGAGGCGTCACGCTAAACATACTTTGGTTAAGCAGAATCAAAAACAAGCGTGCTGCCTTATTTCGTCCGCCTCACCTTTGCAGGGCAGCCCTCCTCCCCCCCTTTTATCACTGATGAGAAAATTTAAACTTTGCGCATCCCTACCTCTCTCCTTCTACTCATGGCTGAGGAAGGCCTGGGGTCTGAGCCAGCAATGTCAGCCCAGCTTCCTCCTGTGTGGGCCCCCAGAATAACTGTCTGCGTAGGGGCCGCTGGCTCATTACTTAGGGTTCTGGAACAGCAGGGCCCGTGGGGGCCCAGCGTGGCCACGCTCTGTGCACATGAATGGGCCGGCGAGGGGCCTGCGTGGGCATGTTTGCCTCGGCAGCCTGGTCATCGAGGGCCGAGGTCCCTCTGGACCCTTCTCGCCCAGCGTCCCTCCCAATGGCCTTGGTCACCTTGGTGATGGGAACAAAACCTGGGATGTCGGTTCAGTGGCTAACAGCTCCGCTGTCGCCAGCCGCACATCCACATGGCACAAAGGGAAGCTGTGAGCTGTTGGTGAGGAATGGGGCGGGGGGTGGAGGCGGGTGCCCGCATGCCTGCACAGCGCACCTACTCGGGGTCTCAGAGTGGCTGCGGGTGGTGTGGGTGGCCTGGCCTCTGTGCCAGTTTACCTGGGCACAAATCCTGGCTCTTCCGATTCCTAGTTCTGGATGTCATCACTTAGCTTCCCTGAACCTAGTGCTCCCATCTGGAAAATGGAGAGAATGACGTAACAGCCCCATCAGCGGGTCAGCACTGCGTTAAGTGGGTGAGTGTATGCAGGGGCTTGAACAGCCCCTGGGACGTGGTGAGCACGTGCGATTCCAGCACTTGTCTGCCTCCAGCGCTGTGTCCTGTGTGTCATTGATTTTCTCAGTTCTTGGGAGGTGGATACCAGCCTCAGCACCCTGGGGTGGATGAGGAAATTGAGGCACAGAGACATGATCTGTCCAAGGTCAAAGAGCTGCAGGCTGCCGGCGGTCATGAGAAGCACGAAGCAGGTCATGGGAGCACTCAGTGCTCCCCGGGGTGTCCATCTGTTCCTCAGTCCCCGCAAATTACTTTTCAATGAGCTGAAATGGCAGAACCTAGTTAGTCGATCCCATTGATTAATGACTGAGCCGGGGAACGTTTAGTAACCACACTCAGGACCTGTCATTTTGCAAATGAGAGAACGGACGGTCGCTGAAGACAGACAAGACCGGGGCCTTTCCACCACCCCCCCGCCTCCCCCCAATGTACTTTCTACACCAGCACAAGTACTAAGGCTCATCTGTCGGCGAATGGTTGAGTGAGGAAAGATCCTGAAGTGGGAACGTGCAAGAAGCAGGGAGACCCAGGAAGGCCCGGGGTCCGCGGAGCTGCTCAGATCACGCAACCTGCCTCTCAGCTGCCTTGTGTCTGGCATATTTCTACCTGATTGAAATTGGCTCTAAACATGCCCAAGGTTGAATGGGGATGGAGGACATTATTGCATTTAATTATTTCTCCTGAATAAAAATGGATCCTAGCAGCAGCTTAGAGCTAAGGCAACAGAGGAGCAATTAGAGTTTCGGAGCTCGCTCTCAAACATTTGAATGTGCAATCATTGTAATAAGTACATTAAAGTAAAATAAGTCAAAGGGTTGCATTTGCATAAATAACCCAAGGTGAGAGCGCTGGATCGGGGAGGAATAAAGGGGACACAGCAGTCAGTCGCTCCTCGTGCAGAAATAATGGCCCGTCTCTCCTCCTGGCGGAGACCATCAGGGTGAGGCCTTGCGGCTCCGTGTTAATTGGGACTTACCTAATCTGGATTTGCCGCTCATTCTTCCTCCTGCTTTGGGTGATAAGAACATGCTGGAAGTTTTGCAGACATTCACCCCCAAAAAAGACCCGTGATGTAGGTAGCGTTGCCATCTCCATTTTCCAGAGGAGAAAATCAAGGAAGGAGCGTCTGAGTCACTGCACTTCTGCAGCGTGCCCTTGGCTGAGCTGGTCTTGCTTCCTCTCCTCCATTAGGGCGAAGGCCTCCTGCTTCACTGAGTGAGAGGAACAGGGACACGCAGTATGGAAGACCCAGAGTCGGTCAGAGGGAGTGTGGGAACTGAGGATGGGATCCCTAGCGCCTGTATGTTTGTCCGGGCACCTCCCAAGGTTGGTTTTATAGAGAAGGGAGCCTGGGTTTGGATTTCTGCGTGTTGGTTCTCCAGGGAAGGAAGGGAAAAGCTGACACTTTGCCTCTTGGCAGCTGGGTGAAGAATGGACCATCCCTGGGTGGGTAGACGAAACGCCTTTTCCATATCATTCAGGCTCAGAAAGGCTGGAATCCCTGCTGCATGTGATAGTGTGGATGAACCCTAGGTCCATTATGAAACAAATGGAATTAGCCAGGCACACAAAGACAAATGCCACAGGACCCTGCTTCTGGGAGGACTCTGAGATGGTCAAGCTCAGAACAAAAGGCAGACGGAGGTGGCCAGGGCCAACCCTGGCAAGATGGAAGGTTCTAGAGATGCTCTATACCACTTTGTCTGATGCTATATTGTGTCCTTAAAAATTTGCTAGGAGGGTGGTGTTCCTGTGAAGTGTTGTCATCACAATAAAGTTTCGATAAGAAGGGAGTTGGGGGAAGCGGGACATGTCACCAGCTCCTACTGAAAGCGGGCCTTTGCTTGAGCCTGTCTCTCACTGAATCTGCTTCTCACTGACTTTTCTGGAAACACTTGAGTATCTTTGAGCCCTTCATTCCCGAAAACAAAAACTTGCCCTCCCCTTTTTGTTTTCTGGGCAGCTGAGTAATGTCTGGCTAAGTAGAAGGCCACATGGCTCCCTCGAGCCAAGCTGTGGGTTGAGGGTACCTGCCCAGGGCTCAGGGCTGGTTCATCATAGTGGTCACAGTTTAACCAGAGGGATCAGCGTCCTCTGAGACTGGCTTCATCAATGTGAAGTTTCCTGTGTCTGATTTTTGCCTGGGGGTGAAAATCTGCAGGAAAGGGGTGGAAAATGTGAACTTTGAAATCAGTGGTTTATGGAGATTTTCTGCTGGGGGAAGGGGAGAGAACCACCCAAGAATAATGGAGAAGAGGTGCCTGCGGGGATGGTGCAGGTGACCATAAGCCTTACTCTCTGCCCTCTCGTGAGCTTCTAGAGGAAGGCTTAGGAGCAGCATTAAAACTTGTGTTCTGGCCTTCTCTGGTGGCGCAGTGGGTTAAAGCACAGAGCACTAAGAAGGTTAAGCCACTTCCGCATGAGTTCGATCCCCGCCTGCCCCGGAGGTGACCACATGGCGTGGCAGACCTCTCCTGACCCGCCCGCTGCTCCCCTCAGCAGTGTACTTCATTGATCTGCCTGTTCTGCTCCCCACTCTGTCTCTGGTGAATCTTCTCACCCTCCGCATCTCTGACCTGTACCCCAGTTCTGTATGAAGAATAAATAAATCTTTAAAAAAAAAAAAAAAACTTGTGTTCTTAGTTGGAAAGACATGGAAACAACCCAAATGCCTAAATGACTGGATTATATATATACAATGGAATATTACTCAGCAACCAAAAAAAAAAATAAACACATGCCTTTTGCAGCAACGTGGATGGAGCTAAAAGAGATCATGCTCAGTGAAATAAGCCAGAAAGAAAAGGAAAAATACCAGATGGTTTCTCTCATAGCAGGAGTATAAAGGACCGGGGGAGAAAATAATAATAATGAACAACTATATACCAGAGACATTTTATGGGGGTGAAATGGGATCAAAAACAGTGGGAGGAAAGTGCATGGGACTGTGGTGATGGCACACGGGTGATTTGGTGATGGGAGGCCCACGGAGATTGCAACTGAGATGGAAAAAGGCACAAAATAATGTAAAAATAAACTTCACATTATTAAGAAAAAAAAACTCGTGTTTTTGCACAGAGTCATCCAACTGATTTTCTGGCCGGGGCAAAAATAAATAAAGTCTAAGAATGACCTCTGTACCTGAGGACAGCTAGGAGGAAGTAGACAGATCAGGTCCTCACCGGTTTTAATCAGGATGAGCTAGGCTGTGCATCCACAACAAAGATCCCCCAAGTCCCTGGGATGGAAAGAGACAGGTCAGTTCCTCCATGTGGAGTCAGTGGAGCGTCGCCTCCCCTGGCCCTGGGAGATGCAGGAGTGTGCATCGAGAGCGTTTGGATGCCGGGGAGGAGGAATGTGGCAGATGTGCCGTGCTCCGGGCACTTGTCTGGTCTGTAGCACGTTGCTGGGCTGCGCCAAATAAGCAGGGGATGGATAATGTGACCCTCATCCTGGGGTGCAAGGAAGGAAACCGGGATATTTGCCAACAGTCTTGTTGAAAACTACCCCTGCCCATCCAGCTTTATTTCAACCTGAACTAAAATGAGCAAAGAGGAAGAGACTCTCTTCACCTCGCGACAGAGAGGGGGAGCCGAGGGCTCCCCCGTTTCCTCTTAGCCGCATAGAAGAGGCTTTCCACGGTAGCACACGTCAGGAGCCAGAGCTTGGATCAGACAGGGGCAAGCTCACTGTCCCCATGGGGACTCTGGGCAAGGTAGTGAAGACCCCAAGCCTTTCAGCCCTTTGGAAGCTGGGGGGACAGGAACACGGTCCTGAATTGGAAGGTTTGCCTGGAACCTGGTGTTAAATGAGACACCACAGAAGGCCGACTTACTGCCTGGTGCTCATGCGTGCTCCCCAGTGGCGTGACTCCTCTTCCTGTAGAACGTCCAGGAGGGCGTGATTGTCCGTCTCCAGTAAGTGCCAAGTGGACATTGGCTGACTCAGGGCGAGTGCTCGGAAATGCATCAGAGGGGCTTCTTGAGGTTCTGCCAGGGCCTCTGTCACAGAGGAGGGAGTGGGGGTGCGTATCTGATGACTCCAGGTTCTGAGAGCAGGGGCGTGTTTGGGCCCCGCCCTGAGGCCATTTCTTGCAAGCCTGTGGCACTGGGTGTCGGAACCGGAAAGCCCCACTGACCAATGTGATCTTGGCCTGTGTGTGTGACCAGCAGCCGCTCGGTGACTACAGACTCAGCTTCCCTTCCCGGTTCTGTGGCCGCATTCAGACTCAATCTCATCTGTTCCCCTCATGCTCCCCCATCACCTCCCAGCTCCCTGAGCTCCTGGGGTTGCGGGGCTCCCATGTACTGCCCCTTCCCTCTCGGTGACCCCAGCCATTGGTGAACGCCCTCAGCACACTTTGAAATGGCTGTTTGAGGTGACATGTTTCTCCCACATCAGTTTAGCTGCATGGGCAGGGTTGGGATGGGAGCCAGAGCTCCCATGGGGTACGAAACCAGCTTCAGTGCTTAAGGGGACAGGAGGCCAAAAGCACCCTGCAGGAAGAAGGCAGCGAACTGGCAGCCGCGAGCACGCGGTCTCCCATGTGTCTGCTTGAATCTCAGTTTCACCACCAGCCGGACAAGCCACTCGTTCACTGATGCTTAGTTCCTCACCTGTCGCGGGAGAACAGCGCTCAGATCCTGTGTACAGAGAGGCTGTGAGATGTCTGATGTCAGCTTTCCTTACCGCCGGCAGATATGAGAAATCGGAGCTTAATGGCGGGGGTAGGGCTGTGGCAAGAGGGGGCAGCCTTTGGGCCACCGCTGGCCCACATGGGGCACAGGAGACAGCGACCTCCACACCCAGCCCAGGGAAGGGGCCTTCCCAGCCACACTCCTGGAGAGCCAGGGCCTTCAAGGGCCACGCAGGAGTACTTTAGAGTTTGCAGTCCACGCCGCTGCTGTCCACAGCAGGAAAGCAGAACAGATTCGGCTATGTCTCGATAAAACTTTATTTAGCAGACAGACACTGGGCTGAATTTGGTAACGAGCCAGGGGGTCTGCGCTGAGTGTCAGCTGCCCTGCCCTGCTAGCCGCTCCTGGACACCGGGGCTGCCGCCACTGACCTCTTCCTTGGGAACTGTCCGTAACTGACAGGGAGTCACCCTCGGAGTCGCTACTCTTGGTGGTGTGAAGTTAGCTTTCTCTGTGGCTTCAGAGGTCGCCCTGGGCGCCAGCTTTGGGACAGTGGGGACTTTCTCGGGGCTGTCCGCAGAAGCGTGTGCTGAGAAGGGTGCAGTGTGTTCCCCGAACAGCGCGCTGAGCTGAGCTCCGAAGGGCCAGGCACACACCCTTCCCATGGAGGAGGTGAACTTGGGTCAGCACCTTCCTGGGAAGCCCCAGGCCATGCGTGCACTTGTCTCCAGAAGGATGTGTGGCCATTCTTTTGTCCCCTGGGTAACATTATTAATGGGTTCTGCTCCGTCAGGAGCTGAAGCTCAAGCCTGGAGTGTCACCCGCGGGAGTCACTGCCACACTGCCTCCACAGGGGGACCAGTGGCGTCTCCTCCTCCGAATTAAGTGTGGCGCAGTCTGGTTCCTCTCACAGGCATGGCTCGGAGAGTCTGTCCTAAAGGCAGTGGCGTGTATCTCACACCCTAGCAGTATTTCCCTGTGTAACTTCAATACAACACTTCCAGGCTCACATAAAGCTTCTCGGCCCTCTGCTGGGATTTAAACGGGACACTGGAACAGAGTGTCCCCAACCCAGTGGCAGAGACATCAAGAAAACTTACTTGAAAGCGAGGAGTGATTAATAACAAGCTTTGAGAATCAAAGCCAGAGCCCCTCAGAGCTTGCAAAAGCTTCCGTTTCTGCTGTAGTTGGGATCTCCCATCCTTCCAGTTGGGAACAGCCGGGTGCAGAGAGGGAAGCCTTACCTGGGGTCAGGCCTGTGGCAAAGGTAGGGGTGAGGCGAGGCCCAGAGGCCCCAGCGCCAGCGCCTCGTGCCAGGGCCAGTCCGCGCCACGTGATCGCTCAGTGACATTTCTCGTCTGTCTCTCTCCCTTCTTCTCCAGGACGGCTACTTCTCTCACCGGCCAAAAGAGAAACTGCGAACCGACAGCAACAACGAGAACTCAGTCCCCAAAGACTTTGAGAACGTGGACAACAGCAACTTCGCACCCAGGACTCAGAAGCAGAAGCACCAGCCCGAGCTGGCCAAGAAGCCGCCGAGCAGACAGAAGGAGCTGTTGAAAGGGAAGCTGGACCCGGAGGAGACGGGGAAGGCTCGGTCCTTCCCGGGGAAAGGCCCCAGCGAGGTGCTCCTGCCCGGGGACCGAGTGGCAGTCAACAGCAGCCGAGGCAAGGGTCCCCCCAGACAGCCCCACGCCAGGAAGACCGGGGGCGGCTCCCCTGAGCTCAAGTACGACCAGCCCCCCAAGTGTGACATCTCCGGCAAGGAGGCCATCTCTGCCCTGTCTCGCGCCAAGTCCAAGCACTGCCGCCAGGAGATCGGGGACACCTACTGCCGCCACAAGCTGGGACTGCTGATGCCCGAGAGGGTGACGCGGTTCTGCCCGCTGGAAGGTGAGTGCCGGCCCGGGCCGGTGGCTTCCTGTCGCGTCTTCCGCCCGCCGGTCGGGGCCACTGTGCTTGCTGCTGTTCTCGATCAGGACATGAAGCCCAGTTTGGTTTGGCGCTCCCTGAAGTCTGAAATCCTGTCTAAAACCTGGTTTCCGACATCACGTTACCTTTTATGGTCATTTCAGCCAGTGGGTTGTGGCCACAGAGAGAAGCCAGTGAAAGCAGGCGAACGTGCGTGCGCCGGGGTGGGGGCTGGGGGCACCGGGGGTGTCCCCAAGTGGTTTGTTTTCCCCCTCAGCAGACTGTCAGGGTTAGGACGCTGTGGATATTATTGTATGACTTCAGAGGCTCTGAAGAAAACCTTCCCTTTTCCTTCAATCGAAAGTTCTCTCTCTTTTCTTCCTCCCTCCTTCCTCCCTCCTTCCCTTCTTCCTCACGTCCTTATTTTCTCCCTCCCCTCTCTCTTTCTCACCCTCTCTTCTCCTCTGGACACTCTTCCATGAATGGACAGTGGCGATTGGCCAGCTCTCTGGCTGTGATGCAGGCAGAGGTCAGAGGTGCTGATTTCTGCAGTGTGGACACAGGTCAGAGAAGCCAGGAAGCCTTGGGCAGCAGGGTGAGGAGATAGGGAAGGCAGGCATGGAAGGCTGCCTAGTGGTGGTGTCCTTGAAGGAGCGCGTCCTGTCTTGATGCAGAAGGGAGGCGTGTGACGCCCATGACTCCCAAGGAAGACTAGGGTAGCTCACTGGGCAGATAGGAATTCTAGGCTCATCGAGGGGGCAAGAATTATCCAAAGTCACCGTATTAGTTGGAGGCTGAACTCGGGTCAGATTCAGTGGGGACACTTCAGCATTTCACGCAAGTCCCTCTGAAGCTTTCAAGTTGTTAACAGCAAAGTGTATGTCTCGACCACGCTTCCTTTTAATTAGAAAGATTTGAAAACAAAAGCTACATGTGTCTTTTGCATCTTAACCCTTCTGTAGCTGTCCAGTTGGGGGACGAGGGGTGGAGGTTGGGGGTTGCCCATGTCGATTCCCTGCTGGGAATATTGGCAGAGTTTAGGTATCAGTGCAGGGAGGCGTTTCCAGTCACCAAGGCTCAGCCCAGCAGAGAAGTGTCCAAGGCCTGTGTTAAGCACCCTTCTGGGAAAATACCAGATTCTCACTGTGTAACAGGGTTGACACACATTTTCTAGAAAGGGCCAGAGTAAATATTTGCAGTTTTGCGGGTCATACAGTCCCTGGTACTCAACTCTACCATTGTTGCAGGAAAACAGCCCCAGACAATATAAACACACCTGTTCCCTGCCGGAAAACTCAGTTGACAAAGACGGGACCTGAGCAGGGTGTGGGCCGCGGGCTTGCTCACTCTCAGAGCCAGCCCTGGGGCTGGTGCGTCCAGCCCTGTGTGTGTCTATCACCCAGCCCTGGAGGAGGGAGTGTCACCATCCGTTTGTGAAAGGCACGAGGCCCAACGGGGTGTAGTCCTTGGCCTCAGGGCTCCAGGATGGCAGAGCTCTGCCTGCAGAGCCCGCTAAGCCTCCCCCTTTTCAGGAGGCAAAAGGCTTCGCTTTCTCTCAGCCAGGCCTCTGGGGTGTCCCGCAGCCAGTAAGCAGTATCTCTCCAGCTTAAAAATCTCTGCAAGGCCAAGGAAGTGAGTCCGTGGGAAAACAAGAGAGGGGATGTGGAACCAGGGGCTCCCCTCGTCTCCCCCTCACTCCTTGAGACAAGTAGGGTGACAGGCTGCCAGCTTATTGCATAAGCCAAGGTGCCCCCTGCCCCGACCTCTGAGCCGGCTAATAAGATTGGCATGTAAGAGCCTGTGCATGTCCAGCTCTGGCAATGCTTTAATTTGCTGCACCACAGCCTCCCCCTTCTGCAGTAAATTTACTGTGAATAGACTAATTGCAAAATAACCCTAATTGGGTAGTTATCAATGAACAACTTCCCGTGGAACAAAATGGCTTACAATTAATAGCATTTAAACCATAAACTATTCTTCTGCAGAAAGCTAAGATGTAATTACACCCCATAGGGAGATTGTGTTCCCTTTCTGGAAACCATGACACCCGGGTTTCCCTCCGCTCAGGAGCTCCAGCCCAGTGCCCCTTCATTTCCTGCTAGATGAGGAGATGGAGGTGGGAGGGGAGGGAAGCTCAGTTCCCATGAAACGTGCCTGTGCACAGCGCAGACGTACGCCGAGCCCCGAGTCACCCTGACTTCAGCGGAAGTTGGGTCTAATGAAGGAAACAGTCCCTCCCGGTGTGACATCTGGAAAATCCTGAGGAAAGGCAGTGGAAGTCAAAGGTTGGCTGTGCAGAGGGCTCCTGTGGCCCCGCCCTCCCACCTCTGTGCCCTGGACCCAGCGCCACTGGGAGATGGGGAGGAGGAAAAGTCTAGAAGCCTGGGAGCCCTTTGCTTCGCGTGCAGCTGGTCCTTGCCTTGGTGACCTGTTGACTCTGTCTGGAATGGTGGCATGACTCGCAAGGAAAGGGGGGCGTGCACACGGCCTCCTGGCAACCCCAGGAGTGAGGGGGGCTGCCCTCCCCCATCGGCCCCAGGCTGGCCTCAGGCTTATTTCTAATACCACCCCTCCCAGAGCCCTGTGCTCTCTGCAGCCACCAGGCTGCTCCCCGTCCCCTGCCCTCAGAACCATAATCCAGGGCTCCGCCTGTCCGCTCCGTGGGCTCCAGAGTCACCTGGGGGCGTCCGCTCCCTCTGGATGGTTCCATGGAAATGAAGCCATCGTACTGAAGGCCGGGGTGGCCTGGATGAAGTGTCCAGTCGCTGGGTTCTGAATGCTGGTTCCGCCTCTGCTGGCGGCATGACCCTTATGTGAGTCAGGTGGACTCAGACAGTCCCGGGAAGGTTGACCGGAGGGAGGTCAGGCGTGCTCAGGGCAGAGGCGGAATGAGCCCATGCCACGGCGGGACAGGCAGGGCCGCTGCGCGGCTGCAGCCTTGAGGAGCGGCAGGCACCTCCGCGGGCTGCTGCTCCGGCTGGTGGGGACCAGGCCCCGCTGCCCGGGCATCCTCTTGTGCCCTTCCCAGGCCCCTTCTTTGCTCAACCCTCCCGCAGCCTGGCCATCGCGTCTCCCCCCCAGTCTCGGCCTAGTGCCGCTTCCTCAGGGAAGCCTTCCCGGCCTCCACTCCCCCAGAAGCCCTGGCCGCAGGGACTCGCTGACCCTGGGCAGGCCCGGCGGTGGCCTTCCCCATGGACGACTTGCCAGTAACGGAACAGCTGTTTGGAGTGTCAGAGCCTTCTGGAGCCAGCTGCCGGGTAGTTGGACTTTTCTGGAACAGTGGCAGGAAGCTCCCTCCTACGCTGTCAGCCGCCGCGGCCCCCCTCCATCCTGAGTGAAAGTGTCTCAAGAAGGGTCCCGCCGGCTACCCTGGTCCCGGCACCCATTCTCCCCCCTGGAGCCCAGTGACTTCACCAGAGTCCAGGTGAAGGAGAGATGAAGAATGTGAGATGTTCGGGGGACACTGTTGTCCGGGATGGTGGGCCGGGCCGCGCGGCCGAGTGGGGTGGGGCAAGGGATGGCTTCTTGGGTTGGCCCCTTGCTGCGGGTGGTGACCTTCTGCACACGGCAGGGGAGACCCGCTCAGTATCAGGGTGAGGACGTATGGGAAGGGGGTTTCTGATAAAAGGCAACTGTCCATCTCTGGACTGTCCATCTCTGTCCACCCGTCGGCCTTTGCAGGTACCAGAGGCTCTGAACAGATGGGCTTGAACATGGTGTTGGGGAGGTCGAGGCCCAGTGAGAGATGGGCAGGTGGCAGTACCAGCTGCAGCAGCGATGTCTCCTAAGCTGTCCCATGGAGGGGGGAGGACAGTGGGGTAACTGACTGCACCCCACCAGGGGCCAGCTTCTAGAAAGCCTGGTTGGGAACCTCATGTGGGTTGCCACATCACCAACTGCGGCTGACTGCCTCAGTTTCCCCGTTTGCCAGCCCGAGGCACTGCTATTTCCCAGGTCTTTCACTGTATCACTTGGGATGAGAAAGGAGGGAAGAGCAGTGGAACGCTGAAGGTCCCGCACCGACGGGGTGAGGGCTGACCGCATGCTGGGCCTCACACAGCTCAGCCAGGCAGGTGGGGCTGACATGCTTTCCACAGGCCAGTTTGAGGATGACCCAGTCGGGTCCATTTTTGTCTCCTGCTGAGGAAGTCACAAAGCCCAGTAAAAAAAGTAGGTTTCCAGAGTGGTTCGCTGAGGTGGAAACAAATTAATGCCAAAGGTCTTGCTTGGGCTCGCTTCGGTGGAGAAGGAGACAGGCCATGGAGAGTCCAGAAAAAAACAGCAGCCCCACTCACTGGGCACCCACTGGGTGCCAGCCGTGTGCAAGCTGGCACTCTGCAAGCAGGCGCTCAAGGGCCAGACCGCAGATCTGAGGCTGCGCTGGCCGTGTGGGTGGTCACAGCAGCTCAGCCGGGACGCAGCCACAGACAAAACAGAAACAAATGAGCAGCGTGGCCGTGTTCCTGTGAAGCTGTGAACATGGTCACCGGGATATGAGCTTCACAGAATGTTCGCGTGTCATCAAACCTTTCTCTCTTATTTTTCAACCGTTTAAAACCGTGAAGGCCACTCTTAGCTTCCAGACTGTCCCAGAACAAGCAGCCGAGCGCTAGAGTCGCAGAAACCGTGTTCCAGGACCTGGGGAGACAGCAGGAGCAGAAGCAGAGATGCTGGTCCCACAGGGACCTCCCCCTGCGCTTTTTCCACTTTGGGTGCTGGCCGCGACCCAGACCCCAGCCCTGGACTCAGGCTGTACGCCCTCGTTGGCGTGGTGAGAGCTCGCCTCCCACGGCACCTTTGTTTCTCAGAGCTCCAAGCCAGCAAGTGAAATCCTCAGGGCCTCCGTGACAGACAGACCCGGGCCTGCACCCTTGCAGTCCCTGAGTTCACGCAGGGTGGGGGCGCTTCCTTCAGGAAGGCTTCCATGATTTCCTCTCCCCCCATGCCCGAGTTGCTCAGACTGTGTCCCCTTCTCTGCCTCA